TGTGTGAAAGTGAATCTCTGTATGATTTAAGCCATTTGGTGTGTGTTATTTCACAGTATAAACTGAGTAAAACAATATATATTTCTTAATATAGATCAGAAATTAATGAGACATGTTCTCAATTTTATTTCTAGGAGAGGGATAAACAGACTATGAAGATCATCTAAATGACTAAATAACTGTTGACCGCAATTATTTAACATCATCGCCACACGTATTTAACTTTAAGCTGATCAATTAAAGCATTCTAATTACACTTTCAATTGTATAACTGGGGAGAACATTTTTGAAAATTAAAATGAGTGAAATAAACAATATTTCTCAATCTATGTCACTGTTTTCACTACTTCTCTGCCCATGTCCTATTCAAGTGGTATAGGCAAGGCTTCTGATAGCAATGTTGATTCAGCCAATGTGGAAATTTTGAATAATTTTATGATAATTTTCAAATGAATTGCTATATAATTTGGCACAGAATAGTGATCATAAACATTGCCAGTCATGATGGAATTCCTTTCTATTATATTTTCTAATTGTATTTCCATTCATAATTATTACTAATTTTATCAACACTTGTTAGATTTTATGTCTACTCCGATTTGAAAAATGGATGTGCATATATATTTATATATGTAATTTTGAGCAGCAGGTATATATAACGCTTTCAAAAATTTGCTTTTTAAAGTTCAGAAGACCCAGAATTTGTGATTTTTCTGATACTTTCTGTGGTAAATTTTCTCCTTTGCTATATCCTAGTTGATTGAAACCATTTGGGTCATGATGATAAAAGTGAACACTGATTGCAGAGGACAGAACAATAAAGCAAACAGGGACAATTAAGGTGACACTCTCCCTGGTTTCTTGTGATCTTGTTATCTATTATTCCTTATTTGTACTCTCACAAAATGCTAAGATGAGTCATTTTCCCTAAGCTGAACTCTTTCCAGGTAAGTTAACTTTTGATGAATTATCAATGGAGGGAGAAAAGGACAGCTAGATCACTCCCAACTCCCATCCATGACAATTTTGAACAAACTGAAAGTCACTATTGAGTCAATTTGATTCAGTTATTCAATCTTCACTCTCTCAAGAACAGTGTATCTTTTAAAAATAATTTAAAATGTTTTTTAACAAGTTTATACATGTAATGAGCTTCTTTCCACCTCCTTCACCCTGCTTGTTCCCCTCCCTTATAGGGAAACCCTTCTTCTTTCAAGGCCCTTTCCACTTTCATGACTTTTGTGTTTGTAACTGAGTTTAAATTCCAGTGCAAATAAAAATTGGGGAGGACCCACTTTTTAAAGCTATTTAAAATTTCATGAACTCCAAGTAATAGCACAATCTGTATATTTATGTAGCTTTCCCTGATTATAGTCTTTAATTCTCTGATTATTCTCCACAAAAATCCTGTACTAATATCCACATTACAGCATACAATTCACAGAAACAAATCATAAAAATGCATAGTTTCATAACATCTGTTTCTCTCTGTAGCACCTTCAGACACTTCTCTTCTTCTTTACTGCATGTGTAAGTTATTTTAATGTCTCGGAGGCAGGATGACAGCCAGGGAAGGATTTCAGAGAGGACTGATTTATACTGACTATGGTCAGAGGGTTACAGTCTCTTATGGCAGGAGGTTACAAGGCATGAGACAACTGGTTACCCTGGGTCTACAGTCATGAGATTATGCACAGAAAGTGAACATGGGCCACAAACCTTCCAACACAATACAACCAGCTGAAGAAACAAGTGTTCAAACACAGGAGGGAATTCAGATTCAAACAACTAAACAAATTATTCTTTCTCTCATTTTAATAACAAATTCAAACTTCACAGAGGTGTTCATTCTATTTAGTTCTATATGCCTCAACTCTTTTCACTTAAATTATTCTTCTTCTATCATCATAAAAGCTATTTTAGAGGTCAAAATTATGTCAAAGTTGACAACTTTAATATGAGTCCCACCTTTATTTCTTTTGTTGAGTAGTTGTTGGCAGGCTTGCTCACCCTGATTTTGAAGAACTTTCTTCTTATTATTATTTCCAGGAACACATTCAAGTGGTTCCTGCTTGAAGTTATGAGTCCTTGACTTTAGATTCCTCTCATGGTTCTTCATAATGTTCTTCCCTGAACATTTGAGAGCCTTAGGCTCCATCTTAGATGTCTTTTATATAAACTTCCTCCCATGAGTGAACATCCAATTTCATGAATGAGGAATCTTTGATAATAAAAAAGTCAATAACTCAAACCTTCAATATGGACCTCTCTTCTAAATTTTTATTGTCACAATTAATTAGTTTTAAAAAGCCTGTGTTTTTCTCAGTTGATTGATAATAATATCTAAAATTTTCATTTCTTTCAATTCATAACAATCATTGTTAGTACTATTCTTATTATTACCTGATTCCTGACAGCAGACTATGTAGCCATGGAACCCTGGGCTGACCAGGATACTTCCTAAGTGCATTCTGTTAGGTGACAGGGGCAGGACAGCATAAATCTTGAAACCTTACAGTAGACAGGTTAAAAGTGGTCAATAAGTACAATAAATCATATTTAGCAGTCATAAGGCAAGTGTTAAATAGGTGCAAAAACAGCCTTGTAGATATTAAAATGTACAGCTTCTGATAAAAGAATGCAAAGGTGAAAAATAATGTTTAGGAGCTGGGTGTTGGTGGCGCATGCCTTTAATCCCAGCACTCGGGAGGCAGAGGCAGGTGGATCTCTGTGAGTTTGAGGCCAGCCTGGTCTACAAAGGGAGTTCCAGGACAGCTTCCAAGATAATACAGAGAAACCCTGTCTCGAAAAACCAAAAAAAATGTTTCAGAATCAATAATTGTAAATATACATGACAGGAGTAAGATAATAGGGATATTCAATAATGATTGAATGGCATGAGGAGAAAGGTAAGGCCACACTGTTTCTCATAAAATGTATGTAGATTTGAGTTGAATTAACTGTTCTGTCTTTGACATTTTAAAAACAAGTAAATAGCAATTGTTATAATGAGTATAGAGTGACTGCTCTCTATGTTCAGAGCCTAAAGTATGAAAAAAATACTACTGATTGGCAGCTTTGTCTTCTTTAGTGCTCTCTTTAGGAGAGCGAATTAAATTTCAAGCACTATACCGAGTATCTAGTTCTTCATGTTCCATTTATACACAAGTCAGTGGGTTAACAGTCGTAGACATTATATATTTGCATTATAAGTCCAATTACCCCTATGTCAACAGTCTTGTGGTACTGCGCAGGCTCCCCTTGAGCTCTTTAAATACAACAAGCTATTCTACCTGTTAGACCAGACAGTTGTTTACCTAAAAGTCCAGCTAACAGAAGATCCACAGAGAGATTACTCTCTGATTGCCTTTTCTCAAGTAGCTTTCTTTAGATAAGTTCAGGCAGACTTTCTCCCTTGGACTATAAAGCAAATTCGCTTTTGGTGAACGGCTATAAGATAGTTAAGAAACACAAATTCAATTTGTTTCAATACAGCTATTCGTTAGTATACCCAGCAATGCCCTCACGGTTCTGAAATAATTTGATTCATGATTTATCGGGGGAAATCTTGATCTCAATGCTGTTAAGGGACTAAATTGAAGTTCAAAAAGCATCATTGTCAAGTTGTTTGGATTGGTTTGAAATCGAACAAGCATGTCTAACTTACTAGTTTTAGTGTCTTCAGCTTTAAACATCTTACCAGAAAAGGGGAAGAGAGGGAAGGACAGGCACTGATGGATGCTGGTTCAAGTGAAAAGTATATTTATAAAAGAGACATAGCTGGCTGGCAAGACTTTTCGATTCATAAATTAGAAGATGTGTGTGGAAGATTTGCGTTTTGTAAGATGGAATAATATCTACACACAAGTCCCGTATTTGTATATACAAATATTTAATAATAGTATCTACAACACATGTGTTAGTGTTGGTGCCTACAATAAAACAGAAATAAACCCTTTGAAAAGCAACACATATATTTATAAAACAAATTTGATATATAGCGAACTACTGGCAACTGAATAATACACAAGACAAGAAGTATTTCTGTCTCAGTGGAGAAAATAAATATGAGTAAAAAGCAGGAATTATGGGTCTAATTCATTTTGTATTTTGCCTGTGACTTTTCGATGTCTTTCAAATTTAAGTTTTGTATTATCCCCTGTAAGACGTCAAAGACAAGGAATATATGAGAAAAACTTACACGGTTTCCTTCAGAAAAAAAATGTAATGATGGCATCTCAAAAGAAAAACTGTAAACATTGACTTGCCCTGTACCCTAGAAACAGTATGTAGGTCAGTTGTCACCTTGTCAAAAATGCATCTTCCACTTTCAAGGCAGGCTCTTCCTCATTATATCTGTAATGAGAACCAAGGTCCCCCAAGCTTTGTGTAGTGACATCCAGTTTCTTCACTGCCATTCCGTCTATCTGCTTCCCTCTTACATAGATTTATGGAAAAACTATAACCCTCCATAGTTGCTTTTCCTAATATATCTACTAAAGACTTTGCAAAATGTAAGTCATTAAGGAAGAGAAAACGTTCTCCAAGCATGTGGCACACACTTGCATTCACGGGCTTCCCTACTTGGACTAGGCATGTAAAACATGTGTTCTTCTCTCTGAACATCATGAAGTCCTGGAGAAATCCCCAGTCTGTTTATCAGATCAGAAATGCTGAAATTGTGTGTGACCACAGGCTTCTGCAAAAAAAGAAGCAATTCATTGAGAGGGGGAATAGGATCCCCAGTAAGAAAGGACAGCTTCTCAGCAAAAAGCTATATGGGGCCACGGGGAGAGGAATGGTTTCAAAGTACACTGAATCAGAAAGAAAACACCGGCATTTGAAGGAAAGTAGGAGGGTCAACACAGACTAAGCAATCATGCTCACTCAAATGGAGTTTGATCTACATGTTTTACCATTGCTTAGTGCTTGCTTTTCTCTTTATTCTCATGTGGTTAACTTATAGCTTTGCACAGTACACAAACACGGAATACACCTACCTCTTGCTTAAGGACTCATTTAGGTCAGCAGATACTCCAGTTCTAGAGGACTGTGGTTCAAATAAGGAAGGAAGTGGTGCCTTCTTACTTTGGCATTTGCGGTGATTTTCATTATCTGGGGACCAAGGGTATAGAGGCAGAAGCTGATTAAATCCTTCCTTCTAAATTACTTCCAATGACTGAGTCACAATCATTCTGCTTAGGAGAAGCCAGGCTCCACCCCTTGCCATGGAAACTCTGTGTTCCCGTGTTCTGAAGAATCAAGCCTCGACGATGTGGTAATACATTATTTATGATTCATTAAAGCTGGCCTGAAGGTTCAGAAAGTAAAGGCAGTTAGGAGCCATAGAAAACCACACATATATCCTTAATCCTAGCAGCCAGAAGCAAGGAGATGGTGGTGCACACTTTAAATTGTAGGACTCAGGATTAAATGGTAGACAGACCTCTCTAGTACAAGGCCACCTAGGGATACACTAAATTGGATCCGTCTATAAGAATAACAGATCACAGACCTTTAATCCCAGCAGTAGAGGGGTATAAAATGTAGAAGCAGCGTCTTCAGTAGTCAATGGGAGGCATACGTTCTCCAGCCACACTGAAGGTAAGAGCATTCAGTCTCCAACCATGATGAAAAGAGATTTCAGTGTGAGACTTGGTGAAGAGCTCATGCATGGATTAGTGAGCTTGAGGTGAGAGCTATTGGCCAGCTGCTTTACGTTCCTGATATTTAGCTTGAGGGTTGAACCCCAGTATTAACCCCTGGGTCTTTTATTTATTCATGTGTCCAGACTATCCTATGCTGTTTGATGACAGACATGTGTAAGTGTGAGCTTTGCTCACAACAGCAATCGGTCGCCCTTTGAGCTGTACTGCATTACGTTGAGGACATGGTCTCTAGGTCCAGTGTATTGTACTGGAACTGATGATGTTGTCAACCTGACGACTACATCTTGTTAACTGAAGTGCAGGCTTATGGTCTCTCCAATGAAGGATAGCCATCATATTATTTGAAGTAGAAAAACCCACCCTAATATGGAAGCTAAGTTCATCTGTGTTTCTGCTGGGGCATTACTTCACTGATATCAAAACATTTTTTTTATTTTGGTTTTTCGAGGCAAGATTTCTCTGTGGCTTTGGAGGCTGGAACTAGCTCTTGTAGACAAGGCAGGTCTCTAACTCACAGAGATCTGCCTGCCTCTGCCTCCCTAGTGCTGGGATTAAAGGCATGTGCCAATACTGTCCAGATAAAACATACGTTTTTAGTATTTTAACAAAGACCGAAGATTAACGGTTCATCTACAGGTCATTGGTGACAGGGGGATGTTGAGACAGCCACACTCACATACTTAGCACCTACTTGATTCTCTCCAGTGTTAGTCATTGTTGAAGTGGGAATGCACTATGTAAGTCAATCTAATAAATCCCCTTTTTAATCTCTCTCTCTCTCTGTATGTATGCCTTTATTTCTCCCTCTCTCACTGTCCCCATCTCTCTTTCTCTCTATGTGTTTGTATATGTTCTGTTCCTTTCAAGACACCTCATTTATAATATAGTGAGATCAACAGATCTCATTATATGTTGGGAAATGTCTTATCTACATTTTCAGCTGTTGACCTGATAAAAAGAAAAGGTTATTTTAAAATTTTTATACTCATAAATGGTACATGGGAAGGTATTTATTACAGTAAACCAAATTTTGTTCTTTTCCAAAATATAATTTTTCTAGTGTTTGTGTGAGTATGCAACAAAGGAACAAAATAATTTATAACCCATGGAAAGTTAGAAAAACACACATTTGAATTCCATTCATTTTAACACCCTGTGTAAGTATAGTCTTTGTTTAATTTCTTGCCAGGTCAGATAGAAAATTCAGTTTTTTATCTGTGAACTCTTTTGAACAAAATTCTTTCCATATGCATGAAGCTAAATGTTAATGCCCTGATTTCTGTTCTTGTAGTACACATACCATGGCAGAACTCAACAACAAAAGTGCTTCTCACAAAGTCTCCAATTTAGTGAAAGCCTCCCTGTTCAGTTTCTAATATTAATCATTTGCAGTATTAGTACTGAATTTATTGCCAGATCATTGCTATCAATTTGCCTAAACTTAAACTTCATTGAAAATACTCTCCTTTGTCTATCTGCTTTTCCATGTTCCTATCTTTCATCACGTAGTCACGATTGTAACTTCCAAGTACTCCACTGTAGTTTTTCATGCAATGTGTTCCCGAAAGAGTCACAGTGCAGGGAATCACTCATTGCTCAGGGATCTATTCTTTTCTGTCTTGTGACTTACTGTGGTGTTCCTCCAGTGGCCTTGTGGGACATTCTATGTTTCCTTTTTCTTTTTTTTATTTAAATTAGAAACAAGCTTGCCTCACATGTCAATCCCAGCTCCCTCTCTCTACCCTCCTCCTCTACATTTTTATTCAGAGACCTAAGAGTATAATAATGCTATAGTCTGCTACCTCATCATAGCTCACCCAAAAAACATGTGTTTCAAATGTTTTACTGCCTTTGGGTCTAAATGATTTGAAAATGTGTCTTGGAGTATCTACATATGCAGTGAAATTCTTCAAAAAAATAAGCTAAACTACATTATTTCTTGAAAATATAGTAAAAAGCTATTTGTCTATTCTTTATAAATGCAAACATTAAATTATGATGTTTAATATTAAATTTGCTATTCTGTTTTAGTTTTTATGTTCTATGCCTATGCGTGTGTATCTCTGTTGAGTAAAGTATACTGCTGTGTATAATTAGAAGTCAGAGAACAGCTTTCACGACTCAGTTCTCTCCTTCTACCTAGGGATATAACTTAGGTCATCATGGGTAGGGGTAAGCACCTTTATCCACTGACCCAGCTTATCTCAAAGTTCACAGAGGTTAATCCTGAAAGTCAAGTTTTAAGAATTTAGAGTAACAGCTGACACACATTTGTCTGAGAACATATTCTATAGATTTTATTGAAGTAGAAATTCTCATCCTGAATACAGGTGTCTCGAGTCCCACAGTGGATGAAAAGAATAAAGCAAGCTGAGCAATACCATTTAGACCTGGCTCCTAACTGGGTAAGTAATGTGACCATCTGCTTTTTATTTATTGTCATAGTTTTACCACAATGGCCTGTAACTGCAAACTGCCATTCAAGAGAGACATTCTCTACCTTATCCAACTTTTGTTGGGTATTTCATCACAACAACATGAAAAGTGACTTATGCACTGTTTAAATGCAAGTTCAGAGTATCTCTACTGATATCAGGCTTCGTGGGCACTGCTTCCTCTGGAACACATGAGACACAGTTGGTGTAAAAATAAAAATGCTACCTAAAGCTTTTGGGGGGTTCTATTTCTTCATAATTTGGACATTTGAAAAACAATGACATGTGTTGAATTAAAACACAAATACTGTTTTAAAAATAAAGGATATAACTAAAAAGTCACAGGAGTATCCTTGGCAGGAAGATGCTAATATTAATCTTGTCCCAACTGACTTCTTGGTTCAGCTGTCTCCACTGTTGATTTGTGCCTGCACGTGTCCTTTGGTACAGTTCCTCAATCCCACAATCATAAAATCATTTTCCTGCTTCCTCAGAACTGTAACTTGGCTGCTGTTATGAATTGTAACATCAAGATCTAATATGCAACAACCTATATGCTTGTGACCCACAGGTTGAGAACCACAGGCTTAAGACTAAGGACTAGAATGCATCAGGAGGAACCATGTGGAATTTGCCAGTGAGTGTATCGCATGGTTATGACAGTTAAGTGAAACCTCAAAATGTTGATGGCTCCTCTTCAAAAATCACTTTTGCTTCTCTTGAATCCAGATACGATGTGTATGTGTGTATTCCATTCCTTCCTGCCTGTGTGTGTGTGTGTGTGTGTGTTTGAGTGAGAAAGAGAGAGAGAGAGTGAGAAAGAGAGAGAGAGAGAGTGCATACATGTGTTTGTGTATTCCTCTCTGTGGGTCTGGTCTCACACATGCTGTGGTATTCATGGAGACCAGAGGACAACCTGCAGGTGCTGGTCTGTTTACCACTCTAGTGGTGGTGGGATCTGGGACAATGGAGTTGATGAATGAGGCAGACTAATGGTTCATGCAAGAGTCATTGCTATTCAGAACATTAAACAATTTATACCTAGGGGTTAAGAGAAATCACGTGGGTAATGTGTATAATCACAAGGACAAGCTTCTTGTGACAAAAACATGGTTTTCCATAGATGCACATAAATAAATAACAACAGCCAGTTTTAATGAATAACCTGACGTAAACTCACTCCTGTCCACTACCTGGGATGGGCCTGAAAGTATAATACAAGAATATTTCTATGTGTTTTTTTAAGAAACTAAGGTCATCAGACTCTTGCCTTTGCTTCTTAGTGTTTTCTTACATGCATTCAGAATTCTCTTTACAGGACTCCATTCTTGGATGAGCTCCAAAATTGGTCCATTCCCTTCTTTCCCGTTTCATATATAGTCTCATATATGGTGTAAGTGTAGCTGCTCTGTGAGCTTCTGGAGACTTGTCACAGTCTATCAATAACCTCTAGGGGCACACTTGGGTTGAAAATGGTCTTACTACAATACCTATCTTTTAAATGTGGCTCTGAAATTCAGTCATTAGTATTGCATGGCAAGTGCATTTGCTAATTGAGTCATGTCCTAAGTATCAAATCACATTTTTATCACAAAACATTTATTTAAAATATGTTTTAAGTAGGAAGGAATTCACATCTGTCGCTGAAAATCTAGTCACATTACAACTACATTCACTAACAATGCCAAACAGAGTACATATGAACAAGGTGAAAAAGAGTAGATCAACACCTAAAGTTTATCCTCTGATCTCCATGGGTACTACAGCACATGTGGGGCCAGACCCATACAGATGAGTGTACACATACACACACACACACACACACACACACACACACACACACACACACACACTGTGTAACAGAATCCAAGAGAAACAAAAGCCTGGACAGTTAAAAGTCCCAGTAAGAAATCCACTGCTGTTGTTTCCCCCAAAAGGACACGATAGGCTTGTCAAATTGCTTTTCCAAATAACTATGTTTATGACCATAGAATGATTCTGCCATCAGATTTGGTCACATAAACTCTTTTGCAGTGGACAACAATTT